TCCTGCTGTCCATCAAGGGACAAGCTGGGATGGGAAGGAGATAGCTCAGCAAGACCCCATATCCCAAAGGTATCACTTTTTGTGCAGCCAGGATCAGTACAGCCAAGGGCATGAGCAATTCTCCTTAAAACAGGAAAGCTAGGCTGCCAGGACTCTCCCTTCTGGCATGCAGAGAGAAGAGCACTCGTCCACCATGAAGCTGCTGCTGAGGCCAGGCAGCACCAGCCTCAAAGAAGCCTGAGCAGGCACAGGTATCTTGTTTCTTCACATTTGCCTAGAGCTGGAGCAGTGAGTAGCAGGGAAGGGAAAGCAGGGTTACCTCCTACAGGATAAAAGGGAAGCTTGGAGGCCCATTCACACAGAACTACTGCTCTCTCCTCCCTGCACCACTCAAGGACTGCATATGTGCCACCTCAGCGCACAGAGCCTGAGCTTCACCTCATACTGGATCTTTTCCCCCCTCCAGCTGATCCCAAAACTACTTTTGTTGCAACTGCTGGCAGCTCTGTGGCTCCTGTCACAGGAGCAGGGGCAGGCAGAGAGGGAGAGGCTGAAGCAAAGATTTATCTTGCTTCCCCTGGGCATAAGCATCTAGATGCAGGGGGATGGATGCTGTACAATAGTCTGATGAGCCAACAGTCAAAAGCAGATATTTATCTGTCATGTCCTCCAATGGACAAGAAACAAACTACAAATCAAAATGTGTAAATAAGAAAAGTAAAACTATCAGCAAAATAATTGTCTTATCCTTGGGAACATACAATAGGATGGGTAAAAAAAAAACCAACGTACATTGCTCCAGTTTATGCAAAATTAATATCCAGAAGCAAACCAGCATTAACACACTTTAACTGATAAAATAATTATTTAGTACTTCAGTATTGTCAGAAATGCAGATTTCTAAAACTGCCATGAAAATTTACATGTGTAAACACAACACTTTCTTACCCAACCTTGCAAGAACCATAAAGAACCAGAAATAAAACACCCTAGTACTAGTCCAACTTTCAATGAAAAAAAAATACACATACCTGGGACAGGTAAGCTTTTTCTCATCTTCTGTAAATACAGATGACTCTTTGTAAATATCTACAAAGTAACATAGATGCCCTGAAGACCAAGTCTAAGTAACAACATGTCAGTTCAAGGACACTACAAAAAAAAAGTTGGAGAAGAGTTTGAGGAAGACTAGTTAACTCTCTCTATGCACAGAACAGGTTTCTTTGCCTCTCCCCCAAGCTGCCAAGGCCCAAACTTGCTGCCTGGCCTAGAAAGGGAGCTCCTGATGGGAAAGCGAGGGACACCTGAAACAGGACAATCTGTATCTTCTAACCCATCACAGACAAGCATGGTAACAAACCCACTATAATAAAGTCACAGGCAGAACAGGCTAGGATTCTCCAGAACCTTCTCCTCAGGACTTGAAACAGAGAATCTGAGAGATGGGTAGGAATAAACCTTTATTGCAGCAAATGCTTTTTCATCATAATGAATCCTACCAGAAGTCTATGTCATTAATTGTTTCATACACGTGTCTTCTTGTTTCCAGTTATTTTTATTTTTTCCAACTATTGCCATTTGGTTATAGGAACCTAGTACTGTGGAAACCATTCCTCTGCAGCAATGGGTCACAGCAAGGGTTCATCATACAGCAGTGTGGGAAATATGAGTTCCCTCTCTTGGTAAAGCCTCCAGCATTCATCTGTGACCCTGAATGGAAAAAACAAAACAACAACAACAAATCCTAACCAAAGCAAGACCAAAGGCAGCCCCCACATACTGACTACTCATGCAAAGAGCCAGCAACCTGCTCTGTCCCACCAGGCACTGTGCATTTTGGCTATTAGGCCACTGCTGCTCTCCTTAGGGATCTTCCTCTCCCCAGGCGGTGAGACTGCTCACCCTTGCAGAGCACACTCGGGCCTCAAAAACAAGAGACAAATGATAGGCACATCTAAACAAAATGCCTTTTAAGCCAGCAAAGGCCTCTCCTGATTATTCCCAGCTCACGGACTAAACCAGACTTGCTTCTCAAGGACAACTGAACCCAAAACACCGGATGTGGTGCGGGACAGAAAGGTTGGGCCACAAGCCATCCTGTGCCCCTGGCAGTCACCCCATAACTTGGGGCTCATGGGGGCCAGTTGGCTCTGGGCAGTGACACTGCCTGGACAGGTGGGCCACGGGGGTATCAAAGGCGGCGAGTGCAGCAGGTGGGCCCTTCTCCCTTCCTGTGTGGGACAGCCCTGCTGCGGGCACAGGGGCTGGGACCTGCCCACCCTGGGTCCGGCCTGGGGTCCGGCCGTCAGGCTTCCTCCCTGCTCCCTTTAGTCCTTGACCCTCTGCCGAAGAGAAAAGCACAGGACCTTTTGCATTTCCTCCCCAAAGGACACTTTCTTGCTCTGTGTGTGTATATATATATGTGTATATATATATATGTGTGTGTGTGTATATATATGTATATATATGTGTATATATATGTGTGTGTATATATATGTATATATATGTGTATATATATGTGTGTGTATATATATGTATATATATGTGTATATATATGTGTGTGTATATATAT